TGCACTCCAGCCTGGGCAACAAAAGCAAAACTCCATCTCAAATAAATAAATGAATAAATGTTAGATATTATTATACCTGCTATTGCAATTGCTCAGTCTATATTTGTTGGATGAGTGAATGAATAAATGAATGAACAAATGAATGGCTCACTGGAGGAACAAATTGCCTAAACCGACTTCTGCTTTGGTCACAGCTTTGAGTTTCCCATAAAACATGCTAGGCTTAGTTTCGTCAGAAGAGGGCAGCTTTGAGCTAGGCTTCGCGATTTGCCAGAGACAGGATTTGCATCCCTCTCTTGGTGGGAAGGTGGGGAGTGACTACAGGCTGTAATTCGTCCTCAGGGCTCTAGAGAAAGGGAATATGATGGCTGAGGTCTTGGGCTGGAAGTAGGTGGTGAGCTGAGCCCTCCAGCCTGCAGCAGCCCTTTTCCCAGAGAAAAGAAAAGAGGTGCTGAGGCATCATACTAAGGTAATTCCAAGGCAGAAGATAGATGCTCTGGGCCCAGAAAGCCCCCTGTGGCTCATCAGTTACACCCCACATCATCATCAGTTACCAGCCCCATGGTACTTTCAGTCTCTCCTTCCCTCACCCCACTCCCATCCCATCTCCAAGGCCTTTCCTCATAGTTTAGCCAAATCCCACCCACGCTTCAAGGCTCAACTATGAGGCTGCCCCTCTAACCTCTGAGCCAGAATAAAGCCCATCCATTTGGGCACTTCACACCTCTCTTGAGGGTCTTACCCCTTTTTGCCTTGGATTATATGGTAAATTGTACGTCTATCTTATTTCCCTTACTAAACTGTAAACTCCCCGAGAGCAAAGAGCTAATATTAGTCACTCCACAAGACTCAGAGGTATCTGAGATCTGCCTTATCTGTCCCCAACCCTCACCTGACCCCCAAAACATAGCCTTGGTGCCTCTCACCTGTGCTGCTGCCTGCACCCTGCTCCCAGCAGGACACAACACAGCAGTCCACACTCTGAGCTGCTTTCAAATCCCCTTTTACCAGTCTGGACCCACCCCTCCTCCCCTACAGACACACATACAGATTGTGAAGTGTGTAAGGACGGAGACAAACATTTGTTCCCACTTGTTTTCCCAGCACAGCACATAGTAGATCCAATAAATAGCTTTCCCCCATGAGCCATATCTGAGATCTGCCTTACCTGCCCTCAACCTTCAGACATGGATCAGCCACAGGACTTGGGGCTAGGGGTAGGCCTCTCCCTCCCAGGAGTCAACAGTGGGGTGGGCAGGGTTGAGAGTAGCTTATCTCAGCCAGACATCCCAGCACGTCCACACATCCAACCACGTGACCTGGGAAGTCCCCAAGACCGCTGGTGGCAGAGTCCCTGACCAACACAGATTCCCCGCCAGGCACTCTCGCTCTCCCACCAACCAGATCTCCTTTAAGGAATATGAGAGCTGAGTTTCAGCAGCTCAGATCATTTCCTTGTCACATGCTGTTCTGGCTCTGGGTCTTCCTTGCCTGCCTGCTGTGTTCTTTGGTCACCCATGGCTCACTGCCTAGATAGGGATTCAGATTGTAGTCAAAGGAAGCTGCAGTGGGAGTGAGAAGGTCCAGGAGGTTGCAGGTGATTCCCCCCGACCATGGCCAGATCATGGAGTGGGCCCAATCCGTTTCACCTTCAGATTCCATGGAACATCCATTCCTTCAGTCCATAAACATCTATGGAGTGCCTTCTAGGTGACTTGCAGTACACTGGGTGTTGGGGATACCTGGGAAAAATTACAGGAGTTAGCTAGATTAAGCCTTAAAAGAAGTATCAGGCTCATCTGTATAATTCTTATGAAGAAACATTGATTCAGCTGGCCAATTGCCACTTGTCCTTTGGGTCTCAAATTAAAAAGCCCTGGCTTTAGGAACCTGCCCCTGACCAGCCTCCTCCCATCTGGGATACATATTTTAAAGGCAATCTGAGCCGGGCCAGGTATTTCATGCCTGTAATCCCAGCACTTTGGGTGGCCGAGATGGGCAGATCACCTGAGGTTGGGAGTTTGAGACCAGCCTGACCAACATGGAGAAACCCTGTCTCTACTAAAAATACAAAATTAGTCAGGTGTGGTGGTGCATGCCTGTAATCCCAGGTACTTGGTAGGCTAAGGCAAGAGAATCGCTTGAACCTGGGAGGCAGAGCTTGTGGTGAGCCGAGATCACACCATTGCACTCCAGCCTGGGCAACAAGAGCAAAATTCCATCTCAAAAAAAAAAAAGGCCGTCTGTTCCTCCATCATGGACCTCTCTCCCTCTGTACAGGATTTACTTGTTTATTTCTCACTAGACTGAGAACACTCCAAAGGCAGGGATCTTGTCACCATTGTATCCCCAGGCTCAGCACCTAGTGGGCACCAGTATTTGTAGAATGACGCAATTAGTAGAAGGTCACAGAACTGGTTAATGTCAGGGTCAGGACTCAAACTCCACTCAGTCCTGTGCTTGCTCTTATGTTACCCATGCTTCCTTTTGAGAATCCTAATCGCCTGGATGAGCCCCCAGGAATAGATGCAGATTTTAGAAGGGAAAGGAAATAGTAAGTCAGGGCAACTATCTCTGGACCTCATCCTATCTGCACAGATAACCCGAAGCAAAAGGGGAGGCAGGTAGAGGGAAGAATGCCACACCAGCCACAACCTCCTGTGGCCCTCCAAATTTGGGAGAGAGAAGTTGGTTTCCTGTGCAAGGTGGATCCTCTCCAGCCACAAAGGAGGCAAAGAGCTCCATGGAGGGATGAAGACATCTGTAACTCACACTAGAAAAAAAAAATCACAGGATCAGCAGAAGGGCAGGGCGAGGTGGCTCACACCTGTAATCCCAGCACTTTGGGAGGTCGAGGTGGGTGGATCACAAAGTCAGGAGATCAAGACCATCCTGGCCAAAATGGTGAAACCCTGTCTCTACTAAAATACAACAAAATTAGCTGAGCGTGGTGACGTGCCTGTAGTCCCAGCTACTCAGGAGGCTGAGGCAGGAGAATCGCTTGAACCCGGGCGGCAGAGGATGCCGTGAGCTGAGATCATGCCACTGCACTACAGCCTGGGTGACAGAGCAAGACTCCATCTCAAAAAAAAAAAAAAAAAAAAAAAAAAAAAAGATCAGTAGAAGTAGAAAAGTGGGCAGCCACTGGGGGTGAGTCCTTCTTTGTCCTCAGCATGCCCTGGATACACAGGGGAGGCACCATCCTCCTGAAGGCCTGAGGGGAAGGCTGGCTGCCCAGCATAGCTGGAATCCATCCAGCGCCCTAATGCAGAAGGGGTTTCCCTCAGGGAAGGGGATTTAGGTCTGTTGTCCTCCATTCTCTTCCTCGATGATCAGAGTAGGTCCTTTTCATTTGCCACTTTGTTACCAACTATGTGGCCTTGGGCAGAATAATATTTATTTCACAGTATTAGGTTATCAAGATAGCCAAAGGGAAGACATTCCCTCTCCCCCATTTAAAGCAAGAAGGAAAGCCTATGGACATTCTCATTTCACTCTAAATAGCACTGAGTGGAGACTCTGGACGTAGCAACTCTAGGCCTCAAAAACCAAGTCAAACCTCATAATCTACCACCAGTGTTCCTGACACACGACAAGAAAACCTTGGGTGGGGCACCTATTTTCAGATTTAGGGACACAGGTTAGATAGTTGGAGCATAAAAATTTTAAATAAATACATGTCCCTTTGGATTCTCTCCATCTCCGGCTGATACTTCATAAATAAATTCCACCAAGTGGTTGAGGGAATCTACTCAACCTTCGAAGCCCTCTTTTTTTTTTCTTCTGAGATAGAGCCTCACTTTGTTGCCCAGGCTGGAGTGCAGTGGCGCCATGTCGGCTCACTGCAACCTCTGCTTCCTGGGTTCAAGCCATACTCCTGCCTCAGCCTCCGGAGTCCCTGGGATTACAGGTGTGCGCCACCATACCCGGCTAATTTTGTATTTTTAGTGGAGGCGGGGTTTCGCCGTGTTGGCCAGGCTGGTCTCGAACTCCAGGACTCAGGTGATCTGCCTAAGAAGCCCTCTTTGAAGAAGAGGGAAGAAATTTCCAGAGCCATTGGATTCCGATACCCAAGTCAGGTTGATCTAAGGAACCATAGAACAGCTCTGCACCAGCCTTCCCATTAGTCTGGATTCTGCCTCAGTCCCATCCCAGCTTCCTTTCTCCTTTATGGACTTAATGAAGTTGTCAAGCAATTATAGATTTTGGCTTGGGACAAGCAAATTACTCAGCATGGAGAAACATTTTGGTGACCTCTAGTGCCCTCAGATTGTCCCTTGCCAACTGAGAACGAAGGACAATAAAACAACAGGGCTCTAACCAAGACCAAGTTCCACTCAGAGGCGAGGGCAGCTCCAAGGGCCCTCAGAGTAAGGTTCTGGGCCCCAGGCGGCCTCCGCTAGAATCCCCTAGTCCCCATTCCTGGCCCGCGGGGCCCAGGTGGGCGGGACTCCATTGACACTTTGCTCGGCCACGCCAATGGGGAGGAGGCGGGGCCTGGAGCCCCGGCAAGCCAATGTGGACGGCCGTGGTCACGCGCCGCCGGCGAGCAAGCCAATAGGCACTGGGAGGCGTGTCCAGGGCCCGGGCTCAGGGCGTTTATAACAACCTGGAATGCAGTGCTTTCTGCGCGTTCTAGTGCTGCCGTGGCTCCCCGTCCCGCTACCGGACTTGTGCCCCGCGCTTCAGCCCTCCCCGCACAGCCTATTGATTCCCCTGCTGCCCTCGCGCACCTCCTGTTCGCCATGGAGTCGCTGGTTTTCCAGCGGCGCTCCGGCCCCATTCCCTCGGCAGCGGAGCTCGCCCGGCCGCTGGCGGAAGGGCTCATCAAGTCGCCCAAGCCCCTGATGAAGAAGCAGGCGGTGAAGCGGCACCACCACAAACACAATCTGCGGCACCGCTACGAGTTCCTGGAGACCCTGGGCAAAGGCACCTACGGGAAAGTGAAGAAGGCGCGGGAGAGCTCGGGGCGCCTGGTGAGTGCGGCTCCCTCTCGCGGCGCGGCGCGGCGCGGGGCGGGGCGGGCTAGGACTTGGCCGCCGGCTGGGAGCGGAGGAGGGGGGCGGGGGCTCGCTCGTTGCTGGGCGGAGAGGCCTGCGTGGTCTTTACCGCGCTGAGCTTGCGGGGCTACTTGGGGGTGTCTGTGGCAGATGTGTTGGTCCGTGATTGCGGGAACAGTGGTCTCAGACTTACGAACCCCAGCCAGCAACACCACGCTGCTGTGATGATTGTCAAATTTAAAAAAGTGAGGCTATGGATAGTTCGCGCGGAAAGACGAATCGTGTTCTGTCCTGGGATGAGATGAATGGGACTTAAGTTGAATTTTGCTGGGAATAGATTGTTCAATACAGTGCAATGGGAAGAGGTAGTAGAAGGCACCCCATCTTAGGAGGGATTTGGTAAATATGTGTGTGGTTGAATGAATGGATGAGGTGTGGCGTTCCCCCAACTCTTAAGAGTCTGGTAGCCCAGAACACTGGAGATCTGGCACAGGGGGTGGGTTTTGACATTGAGGCCCTTTCCGGCTCTAAGATTTAGTTGAAATTTCATTATGATGAGTTTTTGATTCTGGAAAATGAAGCCAGGCTCTGGTACCAGGTCCACTGCACCAGAGATACCTTTTAGTCCTTTTCAAAAACATGTCCTGTTAATTGGGTGCAAGTGTAATAGTCTAGCAATCCTTGTGAACTTGAGCAATTTCCTTCATCTCTGTACTTTGTTTCCCCTTCTGCAAAACTGTAGAAAACACAGCCTGCCTCGCAAGCTGCTGTGAGGATTGAATAAGATAGAAATATGAACTTAAATTGCCCCTGAAACATAGAACTTGCAGTGAGAACTTCTGGAAAGGCCAGAAAGGATGGCAAATTTGTCAAAAGTTAGTTAGCAGTGGCTAAGTAGTTCTCAAACTTGAGTTTAAAGTACATAAGAATCACCTGGGATGTTTGTTGAAAATACTTACATTCTCTGGTTCCACACCCAGGGTAATGTATTCCGCAGGTCTAGGATAGGGCCGTATAATATATATTTTAACAAGCCTTTTACAGCAGGTATTTTAGCCATTATCGTGTTTTGCCAAATCCAGTTGGGTGCTGGTTGTGAGGGTGTGTGTGTGTGTGTGTGTGTGTGGTTTGCCCTATTGGCTAGGCAGCAGTTACCTCCCCAGATTGTGTTTGCTTTTGCAGCCAGTAGCATGTTTGAAATTCAAGAAGTCATTTCACTGGTGAAGGAGAGTGGTTGTTGGAGAAACGGCTAGATTATGGTCGCATTGATAGGACCGAGTATGTTTTTCCTGCTATCACCTGGCACAGTCTGGGGTTGCCTGCTGCCAGGTTACAGCTATTAGGCAATCATGTACTTCCTGGCTTGCCTTTTCTTTCCCTTTCTACAAAGTGTGAGGGCCCAGTGAGGCTCCAGGCTTGCGGCTGTTGTACCCAGGCTTTTTCAGGGGCTTAGCTGGAAAATAGCTGCTCGTGGCTTGTGCTTCATGCTTCTTGGGGATAGGGAGACTGGGTCGTGGGGACTGGGGTGGCCTAGAAACTTAGAAACTGAGGTTTTAGTTCAGAGATCCCATCAGGCTCTTGACCCAGGTCACTGTGGGGTGTGTGTGTGTGTGTGTGTGTGTGTGTGTGTGGATGTGCGTGAGAGACAGAGAGTAAGAGAGAGAGCTCATTTGATTCCAGAATGAGATAAACTAGCTTTCAGTTTTCAAATCTCAGTGGATTAGGCAGGGATTCCAGCTCTAATTACATTAGAACAGAGAGAATTCAGAAGATACTCCCTGTCCTCATGCCTCTTGCTCTTTGTAGGAAGCCAAAAGCAGTAGGCATGGGACCTGCTGTGAACCTCCCTGATGCAGACCACCCAGTATTGCAGCTGGGAACTTGCTCAGAGTCTCCTTCCTTCTTGAAGAGCAGCTACCTGCTGTGCTAATGGTTTCTCAATTCTGGAGCTTTACCTCTTCCTCACCTTACCCTACCCCTGCCTCTTGACTCTCCTCTATGAAGCAAGAGAGACCTAGTGCCTCAGGATACTTCAGTGGGGGAGAGGGCTATGGGAGCTGCCCAAGACCACCCCCAGCATGAATTGAGATAGTTGGTGGGAGCTAGATTCAGAGGAAAGCCTGCTGGGTGACTTCCATCCCGATTTTCTCTCTACCTTTCCAGCACACTTCCTGCTCCCAACCTGCCTAGAAGGGATTATCAGGGGCCAGATGGGATTGGCAGAGGGAAGGGCAGGTGGGCGGAACTAATGGCTGCTCTAGGAGGGCATCAAAGGAAAAACAAATATTTGCTCTGGTTCTTCAATACATTCCTGGTATCCAAATGACATTTCCTTCTGTGATTCTCCCAGCTCCCCTGGCCGCCCTTCCCCCTAAAGAGGAAAACACATGCTAGGGTCTCTGGAATGGTGGAGTCCACCAAAGCCTTTTGATGATCTGCATGAGAAGTCGTACCTCCAAGGTACAACTTCATCTTTCTGCGCAAAGGGGCAGTGAGGGTTATGAGACCAAGTGGGCAGTGCTCTGGAGCGAGGGTGCTTCTGTCTTTTTTATGTATTGGATTGCTGTGCAGGATTTCCAAATGTTTGAAAATGACTGAGATGGTCCGATTCCTTCATTGACAGATAGAGTAACTGAGGCCCGGAGAGGGGAAGTGACTTATCCTGTAGCTGGGGAGTGGGATGCCTGCAACGTGGGCTCCTGGATGACCAAGTACTGAGTCCTGGACTGGGAGAGGCCTTGAGATGAGCCGGGGCTTGCCTCTGTGTACTTTGTTATTCCAACAGTTAGCTCCCGCTGCCTTTCCCGTAGCTCCAGGCAATGCTTCAGGTGGGAAGAGTCACTGGGAACCAACCCCCACCCTCACATACAATGACTGTGTTGAAGGATTCTGGGTGGGTGAACTACACTGTATTCTCTGGTTTCAAATCTTGTTGGGGATGCTGCCTAGCTGACAGTCAAGGCGACAAGGGTTCAAATCATGGCTCCATTGCTTACCAGCTGTTGTGATCTCTCTGTACCTCAGTTTCCTAATCTGACTAAAGTGGGGGAGATCATCATTCCCACCTCGTGGGGTTCCCTGAGGATTAAGTAAGATAGCATATATAAAGTGCTTAGCACAGTGTCTGCCACACACAGTGTTATTATCCCAGCAACGCTGGCTTTGATGAAGCCCTGCCCTTCCCTTTCCTGGGGAATCCCTGCATCCTGGAGGTCTGTCCTACCCCCAGAAAGAGAGTGGATTGTGTTTGGCTTCCCTAAGCCAAATGACTTTGTTCAAAGTCCTAGTCTTTCCTTCAGCCCCAGTTCCAGAGACGAACTGAACTCCTACCTGGCCAGCTGCCAAGGGCTTGCTTGGCAGGACACTGTCCTCCCAGCTCCTCCTGCACCTGCCTGCTCAGCAGCAGGCAGGGAGGCTGCAGGCCACTCTTGTCCTTGAGCTCCAGCCAAACCATACAAGAAGGCTGAGCAGGGAAGCTCCTTGCCCAACAACCTGGTAGAGGGGGCTGGAGGATGGCAAGGAGAGGGCAGCACAGTATGGGAATGTGGCTCAGGCTCCCCTCGGAGCCCATTCCTGATTGCTGCCTCGCTCTCTGGCTGGTGTAGTGGGATGGCGAGCCACCCCGTAGGCCCACCCCCATTCTGCCCAGTCTGGGCCTACCCAGCCCAACCTCTCCTCCATTATCTAAATGGGTCATCCTCCAGCTCCTTGTCCTGCCTCCCAGACAGCAGCTGCTCCACAAAAGGCCAGAGAGGAATCAAGGATCTTGGCTCCAACTCTGGGTGATAGCTATGACCAGAGATGCCCAGCTTGCACCTTCTCTCCCTCCACCTAGAGCCAGCATCTCTGGATCTTCTTTTTCTAAGGCCTTCTGCCATCCTCTCCTGAATCCAGATTGTTCCTGATCTGAGTACCTGGGAGGGAAGCAGTTTTTACCAAATGAGCCACAGCACCTGCCTCTCCAGGGTGTTGGCAAAGGAATGGGCATGTTTATATATCTGCAAGTGGGAGGGGGTGGCTGGTTGTGCTGCACAGGCTGGCCCAGGGCGAGATGTGGGGCCTTCCCTTCTCCAGCAATGGGAGGTAGGCAGGGAATCTCCGAGGAAATATTTTCTTCTGAGATGGAAGCTTCTCCAGGCACCATCCTTCCATCTTCAATCCTGATTGTGTCTTGATGTGTTGGGAAACCTTGGAAAAGTCAGTGCACCTTTCTGGACTTTGGTGTGTGCCATTTGCAAAACAGGATGAGGAATTAGCCTTGCTGTCTCTTTCAATGTCCAGGACCGCAGGGTCAAGAAAACCACTGGGGCAGTATCAGAAATTATGCTCAAGCAGGCTACCATGGCCACAGTATGGGGCTCCTTATAATAATCCTTGGCTAGCACCTTCCTGGCATAGTAGCAGGTGGCCCATTTCTGAAGAAGTTCAACATAGGGTTCTAGAGTTTGGAAAAGTACTTAGAGATCCCGATGTGCAAATTCATGAATGGCTCTTTCTGGCCTTTGCTCAAGCCTTTCTTTCTGCCTTTGTTGCCCCTCCCTAGCCCACCTCCCTTGGCTTAGCAAAACTCACCGATCCTTCAAAATCGAAAGCAGTTTTCTCCCAGAGTGGTTTTCCCTGCTCCTCCAATAAGCAAAGGAACTTCTCTCCAGTGCTCCTGCAGCTCTGCAGGCAGGGACGTCAACTGCCATGTTTATCACAATAGAATGGAGTTTATCTAATCGTTAGTCCTCCCACTGGAGGACTGAATCCCTAACACCTAGCACAAGCGCCAGCCAGGCATGTCGAAGGCATCAGCAGATGACTGGAAGATAAAGATCCTTTCGTTTTTCAGATGAGGACATGAAAAACAACCAGATGATGAGTTAACCAGACTTATCTGATCAAGTGACTTATCTTGAGTTGCACAGCTCAATAGGGGCAAATAAGAATTAGATACGTGGGCTCTTGATGCCCCCTCCACTAATCAGATGTTCAAGTTTATGTAATTATTATTGAATATAGTTTTCCTACCCCTTCTCAGTAGGATGGCCATATAATGTATTGTCTAAACTTGTATACTTTAGAGAGCAAAAGGGACAATATTAGCAATTATACCAGGACTGTCTTACGCATGTGGCCTTCCTCCATCTGGGTGATTCATTCAGCAATTGTTACCCTCTTCCTTGGCTTTAGTCATCTTATTTTTATTTTTTATTTTTTTAACACAGAGTCTCGCTCTGTCACCCAGGCTGGAATACAGTGGTGCAATCTCAGCTCACTGTAACTTCCGCCCCCCAGGTTCAAGCAATTCTTGTGCCTCAGCCACCAAGTAGCTGGGATTACAAGAATGCATTGCCAGGTCCAGCTAATTTTTGTATTTTTAGTAGAGATAGGCTTTTACCATGTCAGCCAGGCTGGTCTCGAACTTCTGGCCTCCAGTGATTCGCCTGTGTCAGTCTCCCAAAGTGCTGAGATTATAAGCGTGAGCCACCGCGCCCAGCCTAGTCATATATTCTAGAGAATGGTTGAGGAGCTTGCAGATGAGAACAAAGGTCCCTAAAAATTAGTCCTTATAACCGAGGTGGACTCCACCCATGTCTGGGAAGAAGAGGAGAAAAATCTTATCTGAGCGCTGGTCCTATCAGTCAAAGATCATCAGCCCAGTGACTTGACTAGTAAATATTTGTGATTGTTGTTCACCAGTAAACAACTGTTGCACGCTTTCTGTATGCTGAGCTCTGTCTAGGCCTAAGTTGTTGCTCTAATCTGCTTTGACGGGCCAGCCAGCGGATAGCTAGAGCCCACCTTTGGGGCCAGGAGAGGCCGGGGAGCAGTGGCCCAGCCCCACCAGGGCAGTGATGCATGGCTTCTCTTGTCTGCCACCTGCTCGGGGACTGATGGAGGCCTGATGACATAACTTGTTTGCTTCCTGGAAGGTGCCAGCCGTACTGTGATCTGCTGGGACCTAATGTGGATTACCTGGTGGGTCCCTAACCTACCCCCTGAGGCCAGAGCACACAAACTTGCAGGAGGCTGAACTGTTTGAGGAGGATTAACTGCTCTGATGTAGAGTCATGGGCTTCCGGAGTGAAAGAGATGGATCTTGGGCTTCAATTTGTTGCACCTTCCCCCATGCAGAGACTCCGCCCAGCACCTCTAAGACCTCTTTCTCCTTGTTTTGGAACCTCATTTATTTTAGGCCTTGTCATCTCTAGAGTTCTGCCCCTAAGCCTATGATGATTTATCTCACTATTGTATCTGCAAGTATACAACTGTACATCCAAGATAGGCCTATGTGTGCATTTTAAGTTTTGAAATAGTTTGGATTACTAGATATGGGATTTGTGTTTATGTATGATTGATTGTTTGCTTTTTATGGACCTCTATCTCTGAAGAGCTCATAGAACTTTATCCATTGTCTAATTTTAAACAAAGAATTTTAGAGAGAAAATAGCTTGTCCATGAAATCTCCCCTTCGGGAAGAGGAAAAAGGTATGGAGGCGAGAGGAGTGTGGGAATGATACTCCAGGTTGAACCCAGGAGAGAGAGGTGCCTCCTAGATAAAGGAGGATTCAAGCCCTCTACACCTACCCCTGGCCCCCTGCCCAATTCCAAGCCCAGGTTTTTGTTTTGTTTTGCTTTGTTTAGCTCACAAGAGAGAGATGGATGGTTTGGAGCAGAAGGGGGGTAGCCCCATTGCATCCCCTGCAGCTGCAGCCTGGGCCTCTCCAGCATCTTGGGGAGGAGGCTCCATGGTGACCATCCCTCCCGCCTGCCATTGTCCTCCCTGCCATGCTCAGGGAGGGCCCAAGAGCAGGGCCTCCCTTCTTTCACGGATGCAGCTCTGGGGGGAGGAGCAGGGTGGAGGGCACGCCATCCCTGGCCCGTTGCCGGGGTGACCGGCCCTGGCCATTGTGAGCAGCTCCTCTTACGGGATTAGGGCTGTTCCGCATTCTTGTCCGATGGAGAACACAGGACAGCAGGGCCTGCTGCCCCCGCAAGCCAGAAGCCATTGTCTGCCTCCAGAGCCCTGAGAAAGGGTGGATTAGAGGCCCCGCCCCTAGAGCAGGGGTTTCCTTTTTTTCTGTCTCCCTTTGAATCTTGAGGGGAGGCAAACCCTCCTGGGAAATGGAACGAGGAGCTGTTTACCGCAGTCTGGGTCTTTAGGTTTCTCACCACTTACCTATTTCCCCCATAAGAGGAAGTCTCGTATTTACCATTGGTGTCCTTGGACAGCACTTGCCGGGAACTGGCCGGCCCTATGACACCCTACCCCCACCCCGCTCATCATCCTGCCCAGCCCTGCAGCCTCTGAGGGCCCCGTGGCATCTGTACAGCTCATTTCATAGACGCAGAGCAGGAAAGCCCCTCAGATCTTTTCATTCAACCTGTTTGTTTCATGGAAAAGACAACCAAGGGTCTGAGAAGGGGTGGGACTCGCCCAGGGGACAGCGGCAGACTTCCCGGGGCAGCGTCCCTCCCCACCTCTGTGCCCCGGGCCTTGTTCATTGGTATTTTCTGGGGTTTTGTCCAGGAGCTGCTGCTGAGAAGGGTGGAGCAGAGAGGGACCAAGACCCTCTGTGGCTCAGAGCTTTGCCAGCTGCATCTCGACAGCCCAGTTCCCACTTCCTCCTGCCTCACTCCACCCTTCCTGAGCCCACCACACACACTTAGGCTTAGCCCTCAGCCCACAAGTGTTGTTTTTCATCTTGCTGGGCTAAAATAGCAAGCCCTCTGGACGGTCCCAACTGTTGAGTTGTTTGTTTGTTGTGAGGGGAGGAGGAGGAACATTTCTTTTTCTTTTTCTTTCTTTTTTTTGGGGGACAGAGTTTCGCTCTTGTTGCTCACGCTGGAGTGCAATGGCATGATCTTGGCTTATTGCAACCTCCACCTCCCAGGGTTCAAGCAATTCTCCTGCCTTAGCCTCCTGAGAAGCTGGGATCACAGGTGTGCACCACCACAGCCAGCTAATTTCTGTATTTTTAGTAGAGATGGAGTTTCTCCATGTTGGTCAGGCTGGTCTCGAACACCCAACTTCCGGTGATCTGCCGGCCTCAGCCTCCTCCCAAAGTGCTGGGATTACAGGTGTGAACCACACCACCTGGCCGAAATGTTTTTATCTGAACTGAGTAAACTTGTTTAGGGTTTTGTTTTTTTGTTGTTGTTTTTTGTTGCTGTTGTTTTTTCCATAATTTTGGGACCAATTTTTAAAAGCCTGTGGTAAAATGTATGTAATATAAAAGTTACCATTTAAAGTGTACAGTAGTGTTAAATTTAACGTTGTTGTAACTCAGTCTCCAGAATTCTTTTCATCTTACAAAATGGAAACTCTATACACATTAAACAACACCTCCCCACCTCCCCTCCCCCAGTCCCTGGTAACCACTGTTATTAACACTCTCTGTCGCTACGAATTTGCCTATTCCAGGTACCTCATCTAAGTGGGATCATACAATATTGATCTTTTCATGACTGGCTTATCTCACTTGGCATTAATGTTTTTAAGGATCATCTGTGTTACAGCATGTGTGAGAATTTCATTCTTTTTATGGTTGAATAATCTGTTCCATCCTATGGACATACCACGTTATTTATTCCTATATTCCTTTTTTTCTTTTTCTTTCCTTCTTTTTTGAGACAAGATCTTGCTCTGTTGCCCAGGCTGGAGTGCAGTGGTGCAATCATGGCTCACTACAACCTCTGCCTCCTGGGCTCAAGCAATCCCCCACCTCAGCGTGCACCTGTAGCTGGGACTACAGGCATGTGCCACCACACCTGGCTAGTTTTTGTATCTTTTGTAGAGACAGTGTTTCACCATGTTGCCCAGGCTGGTCACAAACTCCTGGCCTCAAGTGATCCTCCTATCTTGGCTTCCCAGAGTGCTTGGATTACAGGCATGAGCTACCACACTCAGACCTATCCCTACGTTTCTTGATGAACATTTGTGCTGTGTCAACTTGGTGGCTAGTGACTGATTGCTTATAGCAAATTACAGTTCTGGGACAGAAAAAGTGCCAAACTCAGAATCAGATGAGCACATCATCTAACCTCTCTGAGTCCCAGTTTCTTCACCTGTAAAGGGGAATGATGATGCTTTCTGTGCCCACATCCCAAGGTTGTTATGAGGGCCAGTTCATTTACTAATGTAACAAGGAGTTATTCTGTGCCTACTGTGCACCAGGCACTGTACTCAGCATCAGTAATTCAGTGGTGAGCAAAACTGGCCGGTCCCTGTCCTCATGGTGCAGCTCGGCACATTTGCTTTATAAATCATAAAGTATTGGCCTTGCAAATGCAGGTTTTTACCTTCCTTGTCCGTCTGTAGACTGTGAATACGGAGGTGACTGGTCCATATTTCTCCTGCTGCATGGACCATGTGTACTCAGTTCAGGTGAGATATTTTTCTAGAGAACGTGCTCTCCAGCCTGTCTGTCACTTACCCTGGTGAAGGATGAAATGGCTTCTCTGGGTGTACTCTATGGCCTTTATAGCAGCTATAGGCAAACCACCAGGACTAGGGCCCCCAGAGTGTCCTCTGCCAAACATTTCTCCTCACTCTCCTGCGTTCTGTTCCCAGGTGGCCATCAAGTCCATCCGGAAGGACAAAATCAAAGATGAGCAAGATCTGATGCATATACGGAGGGAGATTGAGATCATGTCATCCCTCAACCATCCTCACATCATTGCCATCCATGAAGGTACGGTGGGCACCCGAAGCTGGAAGTTGGGGGTCTGTGTGTGTGCATGGGTGTGTTCACATGTCTGTGTACATGTGTCAGAAGAAACAACATAAAGAAGTAAAAATGATGCAGGCCCTAGAGGTGGGCGAGAGCCGAATTTGAAACTCAGCTGTATGACTTTGCACAACTTACTGAATTTAGTTTTTGGGTTTCAGTTCCTCATTTATAAAGTAGGGTAATCCCATTTATATCACAGTGTGATTGCAAAGATCAAACTGTTAATGCCGTTGAGTGCTCCGCTCATGGGAGGAATTGAAGGCTTTTTTGTTGTTATAATTCGGTTTTCCCTACTTGAACACCACCTTCCCAACCCAGTGAGCTCCTTAGCAATCTGAGGGAGGCTGAAATATACTTAGGTCTGCACCTGTCTCAGGTGCGTGGGTGCTATTCTTTGTGCATCCCAAGAGCCAGACCTCCTAGAGTCTGACCTGGGCTCTGAATCATTCTTGCCACAGGGCTGGCTTCTACCACTCCTTGTCTCTCTTGGCCTCCTCTTCTCTGACATAGTGCTGACTTTGCCACTCCAGCTGCCCTCCTCCCCGTGACCCAGACAACAGAGTGAGCAAGAGAGAATGATGAAGGAAAGATGGGGCGCCTTCTCCTACACACACCTGTCTGTGTTGAGCCTTTACATAATATCAGTTAGATGAGAAGCAAGGGATAGCAACAGGCAGGAAGAAAGGGAACTTGTGACTCTGTCTTTTGTCTGTATATTCCTGGTGGGGAAAAAATAGAGCAGTCTCTGCTCTTGGATCATGTTCATAAAAAGATTAAGGGCAGAGCCACTGTGGCTTGAACCTGTCCCATGAAGAGCCAGGCAAGTGTCTGAGAAGGCTAATTTTATCTCTGTGTACTTCCCTCAGGGAAGAATGAGCAGATGACAAAGTTTGGTTAAGCCAGGTTGCGTGTGGTGAGTGTGTGTGTGTGGATTCTGCCTTACACCTATATCTCCAACTGGATCTGGGAACTGAGCTCTGAAGCTCATGATATGGCTTCTCTGGCACCTTCAGATTCAACAGACATAAGAACATCATAATGTGTGTCTGGAGGGGCTCCCCCAAATTGATCCCTACCCTGCTACAGGCATCAAGGGATGTGAGTTAGGGGGTATGCCTCTGTCCTGGGAACTGACCTCTAACCTAGCTGTTCTCCAAAATGTGCCCTGCCTGGCTTTTGACTCCCAATTTTATGGCACAAAGTTTGTTTGCACCCTTGCAGAAATGGCAAGAGCCACAGGGGTGGAGTCTCAGCCAGGCATCCCCAGGAGACTGGGCTTCCATGGATAAGGGCCATCCACTCCTGTTTCCCTAGAAAAAGTGACAGTCTCCTGGCCATGTATCCAATTGCCTGGAAGCTGGGACTCCTCTAGGGAGAAGCCTCTTCACTCCTTCTCAGAGCCTAGACAGCATTAGCTCTGGGGTTGGCCAAGCAAGCTGAACTCATAGGACCTGTTTGACACAAAGATGCAATGTCATGGACATACATGTTCTAACACACACCAGGCAGAAGGGCCAGTTTGGTGAACCAGCCACTCCCTACCTTTCTAGGGGGCTGGAGCCAGGACAAGTCTTCAAGTGGCAAGAGGGCCCCTCCCACCCAGAGAGATGAGCCAGCTGGGATGGGCTGGCTGCCAGGAACCCAGCCACTCAATTAATTACCAAATATATATTGATTGCTTCTATGTACAAGGCCTATGCATGAGGCCCTGGCCTGGATCCTCTGGATGAAAGTCAAAGATGGTGATGGATATCTCAGCTCTCCGTGGTGCTTTATAGTTCATGATCCACTTTAATATACTTTTGTTCCCTCTTCTGATCCTCAAGACAGGCATTATTATTGGCATTATTTTTCAAATGTATGCATGAGAGCACTGAGTATAAATATAACCATAGGTGCCATTTATTGAGTGCTTGCTTATACGTCAGACCTATACCAGCTTGCTCAGCCAGCCCTGGCACTACTGCTAACTTTTTATGTTTCTCACCCCAGCCCTATGAGGTTGCCTTATTATCCTGCTTTTCAAATGAGGAAACTGAGGCACAGGGGTTTAATGACTTGTCCAGGATCACACAACAAACCTGCATTCTGACTCGTGCATCTAGAAGAGATTTGCCCAAGGGCTCAAGGTGAAAAAGCACCAGCTTCTTGAACCAAGGAGCTTTGTCTTTCGTGAGAATGAATCAGTCATCAGAATGAAAGGCCAGGCTCTTTGGTTCAAGAAGCTGGTACTTTTTATTTTTTAAAGAAGCTGGTACTTTTTGGGGATTCTGAAAATTACCCTGCCCTTTCAGGAAGATGTCTAGTGAGGCAGGGTAATATCTTCGGGCAGGGTATTTTTCAGAATCCCCAAAAGCCTGAACTTCCAAGGAGGCAGAGGGTGAGCCAGTGTCTTTGGCCTTAACTCATGGCTCCTGGAAGATGCTGAGAACTTCCAAGGACCTTCTCCTGCCCTTATTTGCCACTGTATAGCCCCATTAGCAGATATCCCTAGAGGACGGGGGTCCTGTCTGGTTTGGGGCCTGGGGTTGGGGAGGAGTGGGTCACCCCCAGTGGAGAGCAGCGTACTCTGGGGGGCCTGACATTCCTTGCCTTGCGCTACGCAGTGTTTGAGAACAGCAGCAAGATTGTGATTGTCATGGAGTATGCCAGCCGGGGCGACCTTTATGACTACATCAGCGAGCGGAAGCAGCTCAGTGAGCGTGAGGCTAGGCATTTCTTCCGGCAGATTGTCTCCGCGGTGCACTATTGCCATCAGGTGAGCACCTACCTGCTCCAGCCATGTTCTCGGGGTGGAGAGGGGGGTCCCTGGGGCTCTGGGGCTGCTATAAACCAGAGAGGTTTCATGACCTGTCCAGGATCACAAGGGAGGCAGAAACAGAGGTAGAACTAGATTCTGGACTCTCAGGGAAATGTTGGCCTCTCCAACTTTGAGTCCCTCGCCCAGGGATAGAAGGGGCTGTGATTTCTTGCAGCACATACCAATAAAGATGGGCATCCCCAGGCTACCTGTGCTCAGCCCCACTTGGCTCCTTTGGTGTTTACCTCAGTCTCCAGACTAGACTATTCATCACCTTCCCTTCCCCGGTGACCTTTCCTCTGACTGCCCCCTCCTGCTTTCAGAATGGAGTTGTCCACCGGGATCTCAAGCTGGAGAACATCCTCTTAGATGCCAATGGGAATATCAAGGTGAGTCCCACTTCTTATTTCCAGCAGGCCTCCTGCCACCTCAGCTTTTCTGCACTGTCCCCAGCCAAGTAGCTCTGGGGCTCTAAGCTCTTGGTGGGTTTCCTGAAGAGGCTGAGCAAGGCTGACCTTCATTCCTTCATTGGTACTGGTAGGGCCCTCAGCTTTGGATATCCATGTTGGAATGGATATTCTAATACCTCATTGTGTGGCTGGAGAGCTGGAGCCTCAGAGGAGGGGTGATTTGCACAAGATCACACAACTAGCGCGTGGCTGAGCCTGGGCTAGAACCAAGGTCTTCTGACTCTCAGATCAGTGCTCCTTTGAAGCCAGAAGGTTGACAGGAGTCTAGGTCTAAGGTCAGGTTTGCTACAACCTTGGGACGGGCCTGGCCTGAGTTCTTCTCCCCGCCCATACGTGTACATACTTGCATACACACACACATGCGTGCTTTAATCTGCTACAATTAGATAGCCCTTTGGAAACATCCCACAGATGAAGGACTCCAGCTCCAGCTTCCTACTTTCTTCAGCTGCTAGAGTTCCATGCTTAAGTTTTTTCTTGTGTTTTTTTTTTTTGAGACAGAGTCTCTCTGTCACCAGGCTGGAGTGCAGTGGCACGATCTCAGCTCACTGCAATCTCTGCCTCTCAGGTTCAAGCAATTCTCCTGCCTCAGCCTCCCAAGTAGCTGGGACTACAGGTGCGCAGCACCACACCTGGATAATTTTTGTATTTTTAGTAGAGATGAGGTTTCACCATGTTGGCCAGAATGGTCTCGATCTCTTGAACTCGTGATCCGGCTGTCTCGGCCTCCCAAAGTGCTGGGATTACAGGTGTGAGGCACTGTGCCCAGCTACTTAAGTGTTAAATTTAGGCATGGAGAAGCTCATGTTGATGGGATACACTGAGATGAGCATGGCCTAAGAAGACTGGCCCCTGCAGGCACCTGGAAGGGTGACGCTACATTCTGATCCGCTTCAGAATCTTTCTGAAGCCAGGACATAGTGTCTTCCAGTGGCTCCTGACCTGTACCCTGAGGTGCCTGGTACTGAGTTCATTTCCTCTAACCAGCCAATTCCCGGAGCAGGTGGGGCTCTCTTTGACGCTGACCAGAAGGGAGGGAAGCCAAGGCCAGTAAACCCGCACAGTCGGGCACAAACACTGACATGCATGGACTTTCTTGTCTGTACCAATCATGTGCCTCATTATGGACTTCAACTGGTAACTGCTTGATAAGAGGCCAATAAAACCATAAACAAAGGAGCCAGAGTTTCATAAACAGCCCCTCCCCACCCTGAACACACATAACCCTCTGATGGGGTGAAGAGGTGGGGAGCCCCAGGGCACTGGCCTCAGCCTCTAACTGAGGATGGATGGGAAAGGGACTCTCCGGGGAATGAGATGACAGGGTTGGGGTCTCAAGCCCTCAGTATCAGATGGTTCAGGGAGTCCTGGGCTGTAACCACAGCCTTGACGCTTGTTCTGCCCTCATTACTGCTTCTCAGCTGTATTGGACTGACCCCAGGTTTCTGCCACCAAGTTCTTGCCCAGGTATGCACACAAGCGTGATCCCTTTGCTAGGAAGGGCAGCTCGAGTCTCATGTGGTTCATTGGTTATAGGGCTTGCTTGTTCCTCAGGCCTGTGACATTACACGAGATACTGGCTTTCTCCCACCATCTGTTGACCCTCCTTTCCATGGCTAAGCATCCTTAGAGCCTCATTGCAGGATCTCACCTAGGCTAGCAGCTGCAGGAGAGGTGGGGGCAAGGAGGTCAGCATGGAAGTGGAGAGTCTGTCTGGAAGGCAGATCTAATGAACAGGGACTCCAGGGAGGCATTGGAAGCTCTTGGCTTCTAGAAGAAGGAGATGGAAGGCTTTGTGGAGGGGGATGGGCTTGCTGGGCCAAAAGGATGGGCATGGGCAGGAGAGAGCATCTCTGCGGGGGAATGCCACATGAGCAAAGTGGTCTGGGGATCAGTGAGGATACTGGAGCCCCCACATACCTCTGCCTAGATGTTCCTCATTGGCACAGCTCCTCAGGATTTGTTCTTCCAGGGCCTGAGCTATGCTGACAGTGCTCAGTGTGGGGTAGGGGTCATGGGCACCCTTTCCTTCTTCTGGAGCCTGGGTTTCCCCAGGATCTGGAGATGGGTGAGCCAAGAGCTACAGAAAAACCCAGGCCTTGGCATGACCTGTGCCCGTATTTGACTCAATTCTGCAGATTGCTGACTTCGGTCTCTCCAACCTCTACCATCAAGGCAAGTTCCTACAGACATTCTGTGGAAGTCCTCTCTATGCCTCGCCAGAGATTGTCAATGCGAAGCCCTACATAGGCCCAGAGGTAAGTGGCTACCCTCCCCTGCCAGCCTGCCCCAGGTGTTTACTATGACTTTAGAGAGAATGGTAGTTTTATAGTTATTCACCTTTTCATAGCACAAAACTCAAGCCTCCCAAAAAGTAGTAACTTGCCAGGTATCTAGCCATGATAATCCCAACACTTTGGGAGGCTGAGGTGGGTGAATCACTTGAGGTCAGGAGTCAAGACTAGCTGGGCCAACATGGTGAAATCCTGTCTCTACTAAAAAGAAAAAATATAAAATTAACAGGGTGCTGTGGCACATACCTGTAATCCCAGTTACTTGGGAGGCAGAGGCAGGAGAACCATTTGAACCTGGGAGGCAGAGGTTGCAGTGAGCCAAGATCATGCCACTGCCCTCCAGTCTGGGCAACAGAGGAAGACTCCATCTCACACACACAAAAAAAACCCTAGAACTAGAACTTATGTCTCCTGACTCCTAGGTCAGTTTTTTGTGTCCCTCACCTTCCTCGTTCCTGTTACCTTTCCCAGCACCCAGTCCGCCTCCCAAGAGTGATGTAGAGGTGGTATCTGTCACAACCACCCCTTCCTCAGCACAGAAAAGATGACCTGGCTATTGCTCTTGTGCTTGTGGCTGTCCCTCCCAGGGAAAGCAATTGACAACATCTCACCCCCGCCCCTGTCTTAGCCCCTGGGTAGGAGAGGTGGGCCGCCCTCAGATGTGCTAGGCTCTCAGTTCTCCAGCATGTACCATTTTCTTGTCTGGTATGTGCATCCTTGCTGACCTCCTGCCTCTTTCTCAGGTGGACAGTTGGTCCCTGGGTGTTCTCCTCTACATCCTGGTGCATGGCACCATGCCCTTTGATGGGCATGACCATAAGACACTGGTGAAACAGATCAGCGACGGGGCCTACCGGGAGCCACCTAAACCTTCTGGTGAGTGAGAGGTGTGGGCGTTCTCATCCAGGCCTGGGGTGTCCTTCACGCACTCCTAAGGCAGGAACTATGCAGTAGCACTAAAGTCAAAAGAGCCACAGTCCATCATGGCCCACGATAGGTTAGGGTATCCTCCACCGTGTGTCCAATGTTAAGACTTCTGAGGAAGGAGGAGATAGCTCTTTCTTCCCCATAGGGGCATGCTTGATTATATTTGGAAAGTAGTTCCTAAGGCCTCACTTAGATCTTCTTTGGCTACAGTTTTCTCATTTCCTGTTGCTTTTGTTCTCATCCTCAGAAATATTTTTGTCCTTCACTGTGACGTAGAAGGCAGGAAGAAGGGTGTGAGAGCCCCAGTTACCCTGAGCACAGTCTCTACCCTCAGAGGGTTGAATTTCAATGGAGAGAGAGAGGATAGACACCAACATACACACAAGGGCTCATAAAGGGGTCACAGTCCTGAGGGGTCAGAGGACAGAGAGGCAGCTGGAGGAGTCAGTTCAGGACCTCTGGACTGGGGAGCTGTCCTGGGCCAAGGCATGTTTAGAGCTCTGGGTTGGAAGGGACGCATCTGACCCAAGAGTAAGCAGTGTCTTAGTTCAAAGGGGGATGAGCTGGTGACAGAGGACAGGGAGTGCCCATTCTGGGAGCTGCCAAACTGAAGCTTCTGCCTTTTGTCTTCCAGATGCCTGTGGCCTGATCCGGTGGCTGTTGATGGTGAACCCCACCCGCCGGGCCACCCTGGAGGATGTGGCCAGTCACTGGTGGGTCAACTGGGGCTACGCCACCCGTGTGGGAGAGCAGGAGGCTCTGCATGAGGGTGGGCACCCTGGCAGCAACTCTGCTCGGGCCTCCATGACTGACTGGCTCCGGCGTTCCTCCCGCCCCCTCCTGGAGAATGGGGCCAAGGTGTGCAGCTTCTTCAAGCAGCATGCACCAGGTGGGGGGAGCACCAACCCCAGCCTGGAGCGCCAGCATTCGCTCAAGAAGTCCCGCAAGGAGAATGACATGGCCCAGTCTCTCCATAGTGACCCAGCTGATGACACTGCCACTCGCCCTGGCAAAAGCAATCTCAAGCTGCCAAAGGGCATTCTCAAGAAGAAGGCATCAGCCTCTGCAGAGGGGGCACAGGAAGACCCTTCTGAGCTCAGCCCCATCCCTGCGAGCCCAGGACAGGCTGCCCCCCTTCTCCCCAAGAAGGGCATCCTCAAGAAGCCCCGGCAGCGAGAGTCTGGCTACTACTCCTCTCCCGAGCCCAGTGAGTCTGGGGAGCTCTTGGATGCAGGTGATGTGTTTGTGAGCACGAATCCCCCGGAGCAGAAGCCCCCGCAAGCCTCAGGGCTGCTCCTGCATCGCAAAGGCATCCTCAAACTCAACGGCAAGTTCTCCCGGGCAGCCTTGGAGCTCTCAGCCCCCACCACCTTTGGCTCCTTGGATGAACTCGCCTTGCCCCGCCCCCCGGCCCGGGCTAGCCACCCCTCAGGGGCTGTGAGCGAAGACAGTATCCTGTCCTCTGAGTCCTTTGACCAGCTGGACTTGCCTGAACGGCTCCCAGAGCCCCCGCTGCGGGGCTGTGTGTCTGTGGACAACCTCATGGGGCTTAAGGAGCCCCCATCAGAGGGCCCTGTAAGCTGCCTGAGGCGCTGGCAGCAGGATCCTTTGGGGGACAGCTGCTTTTCTCTGACAGACTGCCAGGAAGTGACAGCAACCTACCGACAAGCACTAGGAGTCTGCTCAAAGCTCACCTGAGGCAGGTAGGCATTGCCCCAGCCCGGGCAGGGTCTGAGATGCAGCTGGCTGCACCCTGACAGGAGATGCCTTCTCCCGCGCCTCCCAGGACCTGCATCCCAGCTCAGAAGGCTGAGACGGTTTGCGGTGGAGCCCTGGGCAGGTCTGGATGTGGGAAGTAGGCAAGTGCATCCTTGATAAAGTACATCAAGGATTCAGTGTCTTCAGCTCTGCTGAACCAAGAGGATAACAGAGAAAGAGAGAATGGGAAGGCCCACATCAAGAGTCCAGGTTGCCTGTTTTTTTTGTGCACGTAGTCGGGCCACAGAGACCTGGAGAACTACCAGGGCCCAGCTCCTGCATCCCATGAAAACACTGTACATGTGGTGCCTTCTAAGGACAGCCCCTTCCCTACTCATTCTCTGCCAAAGTGGGGCCAGACCTCTTCACACACACATTCCCGTTCCCACCAACCACCAGAACTGGACAGTGGCACCCAGAATGTGCCTGAGTAACCCTTCCTTATTTATCCTTGGAGTAAGAGAACACAACCTCTGTTTCTTCCATCCCCCAAACCTGCCCTGAGCCTCCTGGAGTTGCTGCTATGAATCTGAAAGACTTGAAAAGCCTCAGGCTGCTGTGTGAACTTCATCTCAAGGAGCCCAGCCACCCCTGGACTCCACCTTAGACCTCAGAGACTCAGAACTTCTGCCTCTAAGCTGCTCCTAAAGTCCAGACTATGGATGTGTTCTCTGGGCCTTCCGAACTCTAGAATGTATTTATTTTTATGTTCTCAACTTTGTGTTTTAGAAAAAGTGAATCTTGCTGTTTTCAATAATGTGAATGCTATGTTCTGAGAAAATCCACTATGGCATCTAAGTTTTGTGTACAGAGAGATATTTTTACAATGACTTCCACCCCACCCCCCACATCCCCCTGTACCCCACTCCACACTGAGTTTCTCTACCTAATGGACCTCTGTGGCCAAAAAATACCATTCCATTAAAACTAGAAAGGTGACTGCAAACAGGCCCTGCTGTTGTGTTTGGTGATCGAGGTGGGGAGGGATGGGGGCGAGCAGGTTTTTGAGCCTTCTAATACTCATTCCCCTAGGCTGCCAGGGGTGGGAAATAGAAAAACTGCCGGATCAAAACAATTGTGAGCTCAGTAGCTCTGGCCTGACCCTATTAAGCACGCAGGTGGGAAAGCCCTGGGCCCAGGGTCCCAGTTGTTCTTCCTGCCTTTGGCACTAAAGTAGAAGTGATTTGGCAGATTATCCCACCCTGCCCCCACCCTTCCCTCCTCCTCCTCCCACCCCTGCTCCGGCCTGCTTAAGCCCTGTCCCTGCTGCCTAAAGACACCCCCACAGCCTTTATTCTCTCCCTCCTAAGAAATCCCCTTTACCCCGGTGCTGGGCAGCTTCTCCCTGCTCCCTCCTCACTGCCTGACTCCTAGAGAAAGCAAAGAATGCTTGGAATGTCCACCCCCACCAGATGCCAGCCCCCTCAGCCCCCTGCAGAGCATTCTCCACAAGCCAGCTCCATTGAGAAACTCCCAGGCTCCGAGGGCTGGGGATGAAAGGGAGGATGAGGACAAAGTGCGGGCCAGCAGCCGGCTGGCTCTGGCTTCGGGCTGGCTCCCTCCCGCACCCTGACCTGCTCTGGTATTCACAGGAGGCCTCCAAATGTCCCCAGCTCTGGCTCCCGCCCCAGAGCACACCTGTCCTTCTGCCAGCTGTCAGTGCCTGCCCAGTGGAGCGTTGGACCTTCCCTCCTGCACCTGGAGAGCTGAGCTGGCAAAGTTGCTGGAGTCTGCGTAGGAGATGGGGAGGGCAAGGCAACTATGGGGTCAGGACAGGAGAGCAAACAAGACATGGCTTAGTCAACACTGGAGTACTTAGGTCTTAAGTCTCTGAGACCCTACTCACTGCTGGAACTCAGGGCTAGACTCTGGGTAAACACAAATCCAGGGGGTGTGTAAGGCTGCTTCACCCCTATGTCCGACTCCCAACCGAGGCACCAGCCAACTGACCCCTCCCCCTCATTCCACCCCTATTCAGCAGGAAGTAGCCAGAAAGAAGCAGTGTCCTCTATCATCAAAAGGGTCAGAATGTAAGGCCAGTAACCTCGCCAGGATCTTGGACACACCCACTCATCTCTGCGCCCAGAACCTACTTCACATCTCTACACCCAGAACCTACCTGAGGAGCACATGCTCTCCTGGAAGGATCCGGTTAATGTAACCCTAGCTGTATCTTGCATTAGGGAAATCCTGCCCAACAATCTACCTACCAATAGCAGCTTGCCCATCTATGTCCTGCTCCCCTATAACCAATCAGAGCACCCTGCTTCTCCTTGCTCACCATAGCTACAAAAACCCTATGCCTCAGGAAGTCAGCGCGACTTCTCTGGCCCCCTTTCCCCAGACCATAGAACCTCGCCCGGGAGCTGAATAAATTGGCATTTAATTTTCTTATACTGGCCTCAGTTTCCTCATTTTAAACTCAGCAATAACCCTTACCAGTGGTACCAAAACCCGGGAGGAGTTGTAAGACCCCTCCTGGGGGAAACTGACTCCTCCACCCGAAGCCGGACCAGGGAGCCACTCCAGCATTAGGTAAGACTTGTTACCCATAGCCTTCCCTACTGCTTGCCTCGTGGACTCCCTGCTCGTAATTGTGGCAGCGTCAGGGACTCCTTCCCGCTGTGGGCCAGGCCCCAGCCTCGTCCCGAGGACCTGAGCATAGAGGAGACATCCCTACACTCTTGTCTTCTCCCTGTAAGGGGTTTTCCAGGGATCAGGATTCTGAGGGAGACATCCCCACCTTCCTAATACCTCTCGCAGCCTCCGGTGTTCAGTAGTGTGGCCCGGGACGCTGAGCCACACTGCTGACCATCCCCGCAGCAGAAGCCGAGGTTTAGGTAATCAGAAGTCCTATCTGCAAACCCAGGCCCTGCCCAACAGCAGGACCAAACCCCTGGCTTACACCACTAAAACGCTTATCTCAAACTAGCTCTTTGGCTTATAAATTCCTGTTAATCAAGTAACTGTACTTTCAGTTTCTCTTCCTAACCTCGGCACAAGTGAGTGAGTTTATGTGTAGTCCCATGGCCTAATGGCTACGGGGCTTGTGTGGGCCTCAACTCGCGGTTCTACGGGGGACGTCATAAAGCATAACGGTGATTCACCTCAGAAACCTGAAGGTGACCAGGCCTGGGGGTTATACGGGTACACCTTAGCCAAGACTCCCTGAAACATCCCTTCAGGGACATGGCAGGGAGGCATCAGATTGGTCTCCCACCTGGGGGACTCCCCACCCCTTTGTCAGTCAACTTTATAAGGTCTTGTCCCGCCTGTTTTTCCCTTTCCTGTCCTGGTAGCTGCAACCTATAGGTTCTCTTAGCCCCGTCCCCCAACACAAAAAATATTTTTCCCCTTGTTAGCTCTTTTATCCTCCCCACCGCAGAGAATAGACTATGGGTAATCAGGAGTCCCGCCTAGACCCCAAGTCGCCACTGGGATGTCTCGTCCAAAATTTACCCAAACTGGGCCTTTCCATAAAAAAGAAAAGGTTGCTCTTCCTCTCCACCATGGCCTGGCCACAGTACTCTCTGGACAACCAGTCTAAGTGGCCTCTAGAGGGCACACTCGACTTCAATGTCCTGACAGATTTAGATAACTTTTGCCAAAGAAACGGCAAGTGGTCGGAGGTCCCCTATGTCCAGGCCTTTTGGTATCTGTGCTCCTGCCTCGCCCTCTGCTCCTCTTGTTCCTCTGCCCAGGTCCTGTTAGCCAAAACCCCGCCTTTGCCCTCAGCCCCGCCTGGCTCTGCTCTCTCCAAAAACTGGGAAGACCTGTCCTGCCCCGCCCGCTTTACCAACCCTCCTCCTTATGTGGGGCCTCAACTACCTCCTCCCTCTTCTCCTTCTCCTCCCCAAAGCCCTAATATGACTTTCCCTGTCAGTGCTCCTACCCACTCTCATGACCCCCCACCACTCTGCCTTTTGTGTGAGGTAGCCGGGGCCAAGGGAGTTGGAGTGCAGGTTCCATTTTCTCTCTCTGACCTGTCGGCTATCGAGAAGCACCTGGGGTCTTTCTCCACTAACCCAACTGCCTACACCAAAGAGTTCTGCTATCTTACCCAGGCATATAACCTAACCTGGCATGACACGTATGTAATCCTATCCTCCACCCTCACCCCAGACGAGCGGGACCGAATCGTTACAGCAGCCCAGGCATAACTGATCAGGTACATCTAACCAACGACCAAATGCCGGTGGGGGCAGTGGCAGTCCCCGAGGCCAAGCCAAACTGGAACTATCAAACGGGTCAAGATGGCCACCGCCGCAGAGACCAAATGCTACAATGCCTCCTAGCCAGCATGCAGAGCGTAGCTCAGAAAGTGGTTAATTATGATAAGCTGAGGGAAATAACTCATGGCCCTACTGAAAACCCTGCAGCCTTCCTAGACTGATTAACTAACGCTATGATTCTCCATACTCGAATGGATCCGGCCTCCCAAATGGGGGCTACAGTCTTAGCCATTCCCTTCATTTCCCAGTCAGCAGCCAATGTTAGAAAAAAACTTAAAAAGGCTGAGGAGGGCCCCCAAACTCCCATACGAGACCTGGTAAACATGGCATTTTAAGTTTTTAATGGCCGAGAGAAAAAGGCTGAGGCCACCCACCAGGCCCGTCTGCAGCAGAAGGTGAGCCTCCAAACCCAAGCTCTTATAGCAGCCCTGAGGCTGGCAGCCCACCAAGCATCTGGTGGAAGGGGGTCCATCAAACCTTCCCAAAATTCTTCAAGGGTCCTGCCCAGGCCCTGCTTCAAATGTGGCCAAGAGGGACACTGGGCACCACAGTGCCCCTGTCCCTGTCCACCTCCAGGACCCTGCCTGAGCTGCAAACAGGTTGGACACTGGAAGGTTGACTGCCCATCCCAGACTACAGGCTCACCCCCCACACCTCTGTGTGGAGGGCAGGCTGGTCCTCAGGAGGAAGTCCCGTCACTGGAACTTCTTGGCTTGCTGGACGACTGACAAGGTCCGAACTTGAGGACCCCCATCACCCTCGCTGAGCCCAGGGTAACACTGCAGGTAGTGGGTAAGTCCATTTCCTTCTTAGTGGACACGGAAGCTGCCTATTCTGCATTGCCCTCCTACTCAGGACCTAGCATACCTTCCCAGGTTTCAGTCATGGGAATTGACGGCAAGCCTTCCTGCCCTAATCAGACCCATCCTTTAGCCTGTGTTCTCAAGGGACACCCCTTTTCCCACTCCTTTTTAATCATGCCGTCATGCCCAGTCCCCCTTTTAGGACGAGACATTCTCCAGACTGTGGGGGCCACTGTCCAACTCACTGGCCCCCCACACTCAAGCCCATCATCTGCCCACCTCCTACTGCCACTCCTAAATGACACCACATTCTGCCCCAACTCCTCGCCTCAACCCCCTGTCCCTCCTGATGTAGTTAATCCCTTGGTATGAGATACCTCCAAGATTGAAAATCCTTCAGTCAGACTTCACCCGACTTCCCCACTCAACCCGGCTACCTTACTCCCACTTCCATCCCTTTCCCCTTCCCCAGCCCACTCCTGCCCTGAACTAATAGATGCATTTGCCAAACCTTGGGAGGGCTTGTCTCCGACCTTCCCCTACCTAACCCAGACCTTACCCTCTATGTGGATGGAAATTCAGTAATGACAGCCGAAGGGCGACGAAAGGCAGCCTATGCGGTAGTCACAGATTCAGCCACCCTCGAGGCATGTTGCCTCCCTGACAGAACCACATCACAAAAGGCAGAGCTCATTGCCCTAACCTGAGCTCTTACACTAGCACAGGGAAAGCGAGCAAATATCTATACTGACTCAAAATATGCTTTACTTATTACCTATTGCCACTCTGCCCTCTGGAGAGAGCGGGGATTCCTTACCACTAAAGGGGCCCCCATAATCAATGCTACACAGATCTCCAACCTTTTACAGGCCTTATCACTGCCCAGGGAGGTTGCAGTCATACACTG